ATATATATATATATATATATATATATAATGGCCGAGGTCATCGTGATCCTTCTGTTGCATTGCTGGAAACGTTGCACGCTATGGCCCATAATTTTGCGACATTATTGGTGTCTGTTATCACTTTTTGTCCAGATCTCCAACATGAGTGTTCGCAGGCATATGTACATCGAGTGTTTGGAATAGGCTGACACTAGGCCTCCTTCTCTTCTGGAATTTACAACAGCTGATCTGATCTAGTGTTTGGAATAGTGTTTCCCCGGAATGTGCTAGCATTTTTGCCATAGTGTCAGCATTGTTGTTCTTTGTCGTGATTGTGATAGTGCGTATCCGTCTTTGGCCTTTCAGCTTCTCCAGAGAGAATACGGCCCACATTTTTGCGCGGAGTCCGAACAAGGCTTCACTGTATCTCTAGTCTACGATCTCAACCACCTGTCGGGGGACAGTCAGTATTTTTCCAACTTGGCTCGCCAAGCTTCTCTTTTGAAAAGGAACTGTTTTGCTGCCATCTTCGAGCGATTTGTTGAATTCCACTCGCTGGGAGAAGAAGCTGTTGGTTCTAAGCGCGCTGTTCTTCATTACCGCCCGGACGAGACGCTGTAAGTATCATATTTTTCGTATGCGTAATCGATATAAAAGTTAGCTTGATGCATCCGGATAAATTATGTGGACACACTAACGATTCTCCCCTAAGGAAGTTTTGTATGCCATTCCATTCCATTAAGTCCCCTTACTTTGATGTATTCTGAGCCGGTTTTCAGAGTGTTGTATCTCTTCACCTGCCCAGTAACAGTAAACATTCCTCTGCCACATTGCTATCAAGGTCTTCACATTCGATGTAGCTCATTTGTTAAGGCGCTATCTTACGGACTGTAAGGTCGGTGGTTTGAACCCTACTTCGATACGTCGACTGCTCCTGTGTGGGCTTGGCAGCCTAGCAGTATTCCAGCCCCCATGCTTCCTTACGTTGGCATGGCAGCTGGGCACCGAAAGGGTGCTACAACTGGACGATTTCCCCTTCTCTCCTCATTCTACTAAACTACTGGCATTTGCTAGTTCTCATATACGGTCACCTTCACCTCCATGAAGAGTATTCACTTGGAGAGTCCAAATTTGTGATGTCTCTTCTTTAAGGATTTTGTGGATATATGTGGCTCTACGTACTAACAGCGGTGGATGCATTTATGTTGAACCCACTTGATGCGATGAAGTGCAAGAATATGAGAAATGCGCTTGTTGGTTTCTCTGGTGACCAGGCTGACGAACCAAGCTCTCCTGTGAATACATAACAGAACAGAATTCATTCGTCAGCATATTCATGCTTCGGAATTAATGATGGGAGATGTAAGTCGAAATGAAGCTATTCCTTCTAAAACCAGCATGCGTTTGAGATTGTGTTTTATGTCTCAAGTCTGGCTGAGAGAGGTATTTTTTGGGAGTGTTGATGCTAAGTCCATGGAAGATTGGAAAATATCTTATTTATGGGTTGTCTCCCACTGAAGGGCTGAAACCGGCCGAATAGCTCTCTGATCCGAGAAACCCTTTCGGTAAATATTTGTTGTCCCGCTAGAATGGGTGAGGTGGCTCAGTGGCTAGAGTGCGAATTCACTGACCGGAAGGTCCGTGGTTGGAACCCAACCTCTGCCTCTCGACTTCTCCTGTCTAGGCTTGGGCAACCTGGCAGTATCCCAGCCTCAGTGCTTCCTTCGGGTGACATGGCAGCTACGCACCGGAGGGGTGTTACAGCTGAACGAATGATCCCGGTAGAAGGACGCTAGCTGCAAGGGTTAGGATACTTCCAGGTTATCCAAGTATTTGAATGAGCTCTGGGAAAATCGTAGGGGGATTCGATAAGCAGACGGATCGGGCTTGCACCTGCCTCTCGGAATTAATTGTAGGTTGACGGTGCTGAGCTGCTGCAGATCCATGGAGCGAGCCACATGAAATATCCGGCGATTGCGTGTTTATCTTAATATATGTTAAATGTGGCCAGTTTAGAGTTTCTTGTCGCATGACCTTCATTCCTAATTACCATAAGAGAGCCCAAATTTGTACCACAACTCAAACGCCCCACAGATACCTAAACTCTTCTTACATTATTGATTTCCTTTGTTCAAGAAGTGAGTCGAGTCCTGTGTTGTTTCTTTTTGCCCATTGTCGGATGAATTGTAATTTGCCCCTTAGTCCTACTTTTAGCTTCGCTTTTTCACTTTCAGTTACATACAGGCTCAAGGTGATCGTGTCACGGTGATTTTTAGCACTGTTTTCAAAGAACCTGATGATGTGATAATTGGCAAGGTATTTCTTCAGGTAAGACGTGTTGACCTTTCTCAGCCATTCTGTCTCTCTAAACTAGTTGATAACGCCCCCAAAGGCGTCCTAATGGAAACGTGCTCTTGTTTTCGGTCCCCATATTGTCTTCCATTTTTTCATTTCATCAAAAAATATCGGAACATTCGAGCAGTAGTGTCTTATGATCAGCCCCGCCATCCACAGACCTTGTGACGAACACAATTTCATGAGAGGAAAATCTGCACCGGTTTCCTGCACACACTTCCCACAACTTTGTGACAGCAGGGTGCAATCGCGAATGCTTGTGTTAGCAGAACCTCTTGTGACACGATGGCACGATCGATCACATCCAGTTGGCTGGTTTCATCATTACATTGCGTGCAGTTATTGGACAGTGGGTTACAGCGAACCACAACGGATGGTATGACCTGCAAATCAATATACTAGTATACACTTGTGACTTCAAGTGAGGCTTTACGTTCCACTGGGAAATCTCCCCACGCGTGGCATCGCTTTGGGTTCTTTTTTATGGACTTATGTGGAGGAATCTATCGCGATGAATCGCTGCTGGTTCAGCAATTTTTCACGACACATTGTACACGGCACGACAGCCGCAGTTTGTCAGGACCACCACCGTCTTCCTTAACTTTGTCGTTCATGTGCAACAATGAGCCATGTATTAAAGAGACCGAAATACTTTTCACTCACGTACCAACGTCACGTTCAGGAAAACCAGAGCAGTCCTCTGTAAATGATCACACTAGTCTGTCTTAAATACCGTTTCATGTCACTCCGATAATCCAAGGGACCTTCCGAGAACACACTTTTTATAGGGTGATGTTTACCTCTTCGATCTGGCCGAGCACATCTATGCTCTGTACAAATGCCACAATTTCGTTCGCATAAAAGCCAGTTTCAACGATGCTGACGCAGACGAATTGTTCAAACATTTGACGTCTTCTTCCTGGTCTCCCCGGTTATCATGCGCCAATCAATTACTCTTATATTGTGTTTTCAGGAACTGACAGAAGTACGGAGGCGAATAGACCGAGCTCCCCAAGTGCTATATTCCCAAAGCACTCCACCTGCCGAACTTCAGGGGACAGACGCAGTCGTAGGGGACAATGTGGCGTACATAACCTTTGGTGAGTTACTATGGTTCATGTCTTTATCTCTGAATGCGTAATGTGGAAGTCGACCATCTATATTCCTTCACTCGGCACAGATAGCCTCGAGACCGTCGTGTGTTGCAACCGAAGTAAAGTACAGAAATCCGGCTAGATGGTCTTTGTGGAGGAGTCAATGGTCGACAAGTACCATATAATATACGTGCACTTTTTTCTGCATCAGCAACTCCGATTACGTATCTGGCACTGTGATGCTCCAATATGTTCTAGACCAAACTAGTGACAAGGTGAGCTCGACTGACTGATTATTCTCAGCTGATGTATACATTATCTATAAGCCGTGTTTTTGGATCGCCTTGCTTCGAGTTTTCACGTTAAGGTTCAAGTGCAGTATCAAGGCCTTGTATCACAGTGCAACTCTGTCGTTCACTGCGAGAGCAGGTGAGCGATGTTACCTTCGTCCCAGTTATTTCTGTTTTCCATTTTTACGTTTGTATGCTGTACTTAAAAATGCAGGTTCATCAGCCTTTGGTATTTCATCTAGGGTAGCCGTATTGATGGAGAGACCGGTGGTCCCTGTTAGGTTCCACGCACAGATGGTCTACTCATTATTTTAAGGAGAATTCTATCTACTCACGAGTAGCTGAAAATCAATGCAGTTCTGGTGCCCATTCAGTGATCTTTGATGGTACAGACCCACGGATGATAAAGCAGGGATGGATACAACATGAAACTCCTCCAACCCACCAGTTCAAGATTTTGACACCCACGCTAGCCGACAAGAGCTATTAATTGACACGCAACACTGATCTAGTGTGAAGAGGACTTACTGATTGGTTCCCCGCCTGTCTTATAACCTGACCAATTTGGTGACCTGTTCACTTGGCCTGATGAAGCTTTTGTGTCAAAAGCGAAACGTTGCCCAAATAAAAACTACCGATTGTTTACCAAGCTCTTCTGAAACGATGACTTCTCAATCGGTTCCAAACTTTTTCCAAGAGCATGGATATTGTTCCATAACTTTTCAGTGCAGTGACGCTTCTAATGAGAACCTGAAAAGGTCAGTAAAATCAGACTATACCTATATGATGGAGGCGAGAGTAGCAACAACGGTGCACAACCACACTTTCTAATTGGAGGGTCTGCGCTACTTTGAGGGTTCGTAGACAGATTCATCGGTCTACATATCAACAGCTCACCATCTACCAAGGTTTTGTTCCGTTATGCCGGAAGGAACGATGTTTCGGGTGGAAGTAGCAAATGTTGGTTACTCTGAACAGCCAGTCGATTGTCGAACTGCTTGCTGACGGGGACGATTGTCTTGATGTCATTTGTGCACTCGATTCCGCATAGAAAACGATGAAGCGAACGCAACACAGGATCTTTGCACATAATGGTTGATCATCGCAGAGTTACTTTCCAACTACTGCTCTTGATATAGTCAGTCGCCAGAGTGATTCCGCTACTTTCTGGACAGAGCATCTGTAGCAAATGTATTCACCCGTTAACCGGCGAAGTGTGCTGCGCCCGCCACTCATCGACAGTAGTATTCTCTCAGGAGAAATTTAAGCTTGTGGACTTTGCCACTCCACTCCTGACCGAAACTTTGCACATTTCCGAGGGTTTTGTGGGGAAATCGGAAACTTTTCTAGTGTATTGGGTCGCATAAACGTGAGAGACTGATCAAATCGTGTTATCTTTGAATCGGAGCTCGAGATGGCTCAGTGACTGGGAAGTCCGTGCTTCGAACCCAGCCTCCGCATCTAGACTGCGCCTGCCTAGACTTGGACAGCCTGGCGGTATCTCAGCCCTCGTGCTTCCTTCGGGTGGCGTGTCAGTTAGGGTGATAGAGCTGGTCGATTATTATCATTATCATTATTGTTTCCGAGTCACTATGTACTCATACTTCGTCCCGTAGTTGGTGTTATCGCAACGTCAACATCACAGAGAACATTCTTTGGCTCTCACTGACAAAACATCAAAGATGTGTAATTGCAAGCTCGGTTGTTACTTTGTCACTGAACAAGAAAATGCTTATCGACAGAGTTGCAAGACGTGTGACGAGCCATTTCTTGTTGAATAGAATGGATTAAGAAGGTGGTTATTGTCCGGCCATTGTATATAAGAATTCTTGCTGCAAAGGCTTCCTAAACACCAGAAGTGTTTCAAGGAGTATGGCTTACTTGGACGTTTAGCGTGAGATTGGGGCACGATTTCAGCCGAACGTGGTTTGTATCCTGTGGAAGCTGATTCCGGGTAATAAAAACTTATGCGGGTACCAAGTCATTTCGGATACAGAGAGTTCTGATCCGTTGTTACCAATGCGAACTGGAGAAGTGGTATTCTCCCATCCATTCCACTACGGTTGAGGAGCGCTAGTGCAGTTGGCTGCTTGTTTTTAGAATCTGGGCTGTCGGGGTACCATCAGCACTAGATAACGCATATACTAGATTACCACTTATCATTTTGACGATTCTTATGCACTGGTTTACAAACATTACGTCATTCAGCTGTAGCACCCTTTCGGTGTCTTAGTACCACACTATCAGAAGGAAGCACGAGGGCTGGGATACTGCCAGCCTAGACATGGGAAGTCGAGAGGCAGAGGTCGGGTTCGAACCACGGACCTTCCGGTCAGTAAATTTGCGGCGCTCTAACCACTTGGGCCATCTCGCCCCCAACATCACGTCAGATTCGCATTTCTTCTTTTATATTACTTTGAGATATCTGGTCAATGGCTGTGCTGTCCCCATTCAAAGATGAAGTGATTCAGCGGCATAAATAACCACAACAAGGCCAAAGTTCCCTGCCACATACACGGCCAGAAGTTTTATTGGCAACGTACCGAGTTTGTCATTCTTATACACGACCTTCCCATTTTCCCCATTCAGTGTTGTTCCCACGACATCTGACTCCGGAGGCAGCACCTCGTACAACAAACTTGATCCACACGTTACGCAACTACTTACACTATCACATCAAGTGTTCCAAAGGCTATATTCACCGACGAATGCGGGCCAAAACCCACGAGTTCATCAAAATCCTCAACCGTGCTCATCCGCAGTACGCCACACTGCCTGTGGTCAATGTTGGTCCTGCACCAGCGAGGCTTTCGTACAACGCCAGCTACTTCAGTCTGTACAGTCAGGACGATTCGGTGATTGATGCAAACGGGATTTGCAACCATGATTCGAAACATCCAGATTCAGACTTCCCTGAACCACCTACCGAATTTGGCTTTGTGAACGGGTACAACTGAGCTAACCCGTGGCTAGTCATTATCGCCTTGTCATTGCCACTTACTGTCCTGTATTCCCCTGTATACTTTGTGGGGAATATACGCGACTTGCGTACATTCATCATTAGTTGTGTGATTGCATCTGTGAGCATTTATGGTCCATCCTGGTCTGCATTTCATTTTGGTTCTTTTGGAACTGCCTGGCTAGGCATGAATGATATTTTTGTTTTCTACCATTTTTGGGACCTGGGACGCATTCTCACTACTGACATGTTCTACTTGGCCTTATATAACTATGCATTTGTTCCTTCATATATGAACAACACTTTGATACTGCTTCTAGGCAGAAAGTTGTCTGCGTTCTTATCCCCAAATTACCTGAGGAAGCCCCCTCAGTGGCCTGAGGGAGTTTATAAAATCGGGTCAGCTAACGAAGTACAGCGGTTAGAATGCACCTCTCTCCTGTTTAATCTGCTAGTACTGTGAACTGAGGGTTCATCGTCAACATTGTTTGTCCGCTCACTGTCTTCTGCTCCGATTTCAACAGTCCACCACGTTTCTTCTAAAAGAGCCCCATAATCGTAAATGAAGTAAACAAAAGATCGTTCAGCTGTAGCACCCTCTCGGTGCCTAGCTGCCATGCCACCCGAAAGAGGCACAAGGGCTGGGATACTGCCAGATTGCCCAGGCCTAGACAGGGAAATGGAGAGGCAGAGGTGGGGTTCGAACCATGGACCTTCCGGTCAGTAAATTCGCCCTATAACCACTTGGGTCATGTCGCCCCATAACGGTAACGGAATCTTAATTGTTTTGCGGCATCACTGTAATTTCATTGTATCTCGGATGGATCCTAATGGTTACGAGTTGCCAGTACTTAATTAGATTCAAGGTCTACTGGCGCCCAGAAAAAAAGGGTAGTTGAGACCGACCGAAGTCCTGTTCTCTTCCACGGGGACTACGATGTCAGGTTTGTTCATTAGGATCGTAGTTTACTGTTCACAGCGCACTTATGTACCCGGAAAACATAGTTGCAACATCGAACGGGATTGTTTCACATTTTCAGAGGGCTACCTCTATCGTTCAGCTTCCGGTGCCTAGCTGCCGTGCCACCTGAAGGAAGCACGAGGGTTGGGATACTGCCAGGTTGCCCAAGCCTAGACAGGGTAAGTCTAGAGGTAGAGTTCGGGCTCGAACCACGGACCTTCTGGTCAGTAAATTCGCGTTCTAACCACTTGGGCTACCTCTAACTGCTCTCAAAATCGGTCATAAGGTACCTGTTTATAAAAAACCAAAGTTTTCTTCGGCTCTGCGTTTGAAATTCCATATAAATTGGTGAAAGTGGTTTTTTGATCAGTAAAGGCATTACTGAAAAAGAGCCGATCATCAATTGTTCCGGGTCAATGAATGAGGGCGAAGTTACGTGGTTTCTTGACAAATTTTGGACCTTTCTTTATAGATGCGGGCTTTCTGGTCCTTGACGTCTACCGCTTACTTATCGAATACAATGGTCTTTCTGTGATTGAGGGCAAACAAGGTGTCCAAGTAGTATCGAGAACTCACAGCGAACGCGTTTGATGGTCATATGTTTACGATGCACTCATCCCCCGCACCATAATGTTCGTGTTTAAAGAAAAAAGACAGTCTCTAACAAATATCCTAAAACGTAGGTCCGGGTAAAGCTGGTCTAGCGCTCAGCAGGTCATCGGACTTGATTCAGATGGAATCTGGATTGGTTCGCCGAAAACACGCCTGGCCCAAAACGCAAAATTACATTGGAAGCAGAAGTTTCAGCGGGTTGCCGAAAGTGTCCTTATATTGTTCAAACAGTCAAATTTGACTGGCTTGACCAGTCGTCTCATGAAATTAGAAACAGATTCATTTGTGTACCTCACCCAGCGTGACAACTGGCGTTTCGTCGCCAACTGTCCGCGCGCCAACCGACTCCCTCATTGACAAAAAACACTCGCAAACCAACTAACGAGATCGACAGTAAACCCATGTTTCGCAACTTTGCACGTTGCAACTTTTTTGTAAGCAGAGACAGGAATATAAATTTAACACACCGTTTCTGTTTGGTCTAGTCCTAAGAAAGTTGCACTGAAATGATTTTACTCTGCTTCTCCCAGAGGAAGACTCATTTTGAATTGGATCCGACGATACGAATACCCTAAGCATACACTATTCTGTATGCTTTCGGGCTTCTTCATTGATCAAACAAATTTTGACTGTCAACTGAAGACTGCGTATTGATCCGACAGTGCGTATGCACACTTCATACCATTGCTGGAAGTGTGCTTGCTACTTTTGAGGACATCACACCTCTGGTAGAGGTGTGCGCACTGGATTCTACACAACGATGATTTATTGTGTGTAGTGTATAATGCGTTATCGTGGAGTGATATATTTTGTGAGGGAATACAACAATGAGTGTGTCAAGCAAAAGAGAATACGTATTCATTTTCGGACAGTCAGTGGTGAAAAAAAGAAACAGAACGGAACGAAACGTAGGCCATAGGCATCAGTACCAACCTGCGCAGGCCCTATCGTTCACCTGTAGCGCCCTTTCGGTGCCTAGCTGCCATATCACCCGAAGGAATCACGAGGGCTGGGATACTGTCAGACTGCCCAAGCCTAGACAGGGTAAGTCGAGAGGCAGAGGTCGGGTTCGAACCACGGTGAAAAGTCAGAATGGCTTGGAACACTCCTGTCAGTAAATCCATGCCTTAGCTGGTGAGTTATTCCGGGCTCGAGTTATAGAGCCCCGCCACTGTATCCAGTTGTCCTCTCCTGCATGACTGCCCCGTTGGCCCTAGTAAAGCTACCTGTAGCTTGAAATCGTTGTGGTGAATTGTGGAAGCAAAAACACAAGTGCTCAGGATAATAGTTCATTGTTACAACGGGACTTCACCATTTTTGTTCTGAAAGCGGAAGCCGTGGTGAGATAGTCGAACCGGTGTGCAAAAGCAGGCTCTCAGCTGGTTATCAGACGCGTAAACCGGTAGTGTGAACGATTATGAAAAACTAGTGGACAAGTTTATAATGTAATAAATAATCGTCCAGCTGTAGCACCCTTTCGGTGCCTAGCTGCCATGCCACACGAAGGAGGCACGAGGGCTCGGATACTGCCAGGTTGCCCAAGCCTAGACAGGGGAGGTCGAGTGGCAGAGGCCGGATTCGAACCACGGACCTTCCGGTCAGTAAGTTCGCGCTCTAACCACTGAGCTACCTCGCCCACCCTCGTGGACAAGAGGAAGGTACCCTTGTACGAAGACTCCCACTCGAGTGAGCCCTTAGGTGCACACGAAATCAATCAGGGCGACTTAGCTTGCTCTTTGATAACTTATTCTGATTGCTGTATTCCAAACAATGAATTCTCGACCTGTTTCATCCTTTTTCCTGCGTTATATGGGCACAAGCTGGCGCACAACTGAGGAAATCGGATCAAGTATATTTTCACCGTTCGAGTGAATCAGAAATTAGAATTCACTAAAGGCGTAATTGGATCTCGTATGCACTGTTCCAAATGTGCGTTTAGAGGTTGTTGATCAGGTGGCTGTTGATCTGTTCGCCGAGCTTGACAATTGGCTTGCAAACGTNGTACGAGGAGACATCATCAGTGTGCATTTGGGTGGGTACTTCTTCCTTGCCTGTGTGCGTTTATATAGCATTGGAAGGCTATCCGTTATCTTCTGATGTGATAGGCTACTTGAAGTGTAACGAATTTGGTTGATCTACTGGTCCACTTGTGATCTTTGTTGCGTTGTGGTCTGCGTTCCTTTAGATCGGAAGA